TATTGGGCTGTGTAGGTAGATATTGGTCTCAGCTATCTCCATTCTTAGGATGGTGCACTATTCACTGGATATCCTGCATGAGTTGTCAAAGTCAATATCCGCCATGCTTCGACACTGTCAGGTCTGCCCGACTAGAGTGACACCAGAGTCATCACAGTGTAAGAAGATGGATGTAAAACAACGCTTGTGTTAAGTTACACCGTGTAAGCGAGGTTTATATTTTCTATATCATTTCTAATATGTACTATAATCTATTAAACTGTCAAACACCAAGCGGTCACCGGTGACCGCAACCTATTGTTCTTTAACTCGTCGAGTACCGTCATTATAGACACAATTATAGAACAATAGGTTGCGGTCACCGGTGACCGCTTGGTGTTTGACAGTTTAATTGTGTCTGTAAATACGGTACTCGACGAGTTAATTACTTTCAAACGCTCACAACGGTAGAAAACCAGTCACAGTGACTGACAGTAACTGACTTTTAACTTGAATTGAAACACAGGCTTGTACCTAAATCAGGTTATATGTAAACTTACACTTCCTTTAGGTAATAAGATTTATTTTGTAATCTGACTTTTTATACCAAATAAACATTACCTATTTATTACTTTTATTCAGTAAATTATACAAAGGAAGAAATACAAGCTCATTGCAGTCCAATTTATTTTATTGTATTAATCTGTCGAACGTCATAATTATTACGACTTCTTAGATGGCGCAACCGCAGCCTCTGCCGATCAGGTCACCTCGGAAACCGAGGCCAGGAGCAGCGAATACAGAGGGAGTAAAAGCACCAGCAGGACCATAAGCAGCAAGAGGAGCCAGTGCAGCAGCCGGGGCATAGGCAGCAGAGCCACTGGCCATGGCGGTCCTGCCATTACCACAAGCATGGTTGACGGCACCAGCACCGGCAGAGGGCACCACGCCTTCCATAGCGACAGTACCCACAAACGGCAGCTCTCCAATCACTTCCAGAGCACCCTCGTAAACATTGTCAGACGCCACGGAGATACCGACGGGAGCAATGGCGGAGCCACTGGTCACAGGCAGACCACCACCACTGGTGGGGCTGAATTCCATAGCGGGGGCGCCGATGATGGCATCGTAAGCCAGGCCTCTACCAGCCAGACCATACGGAGTTGCTAAGCCAGCAGCTCCAAGACCAGCCCAAGGAGCCACAAGCTCAGAAGCGGCCAGTCCACAAGGAGTGCCTAGGACGGGAGCAGCCAGGCCGTAAGGAGCGGCTAGTGGAGAGATTTCAGCGACCGCAGCTCGGCTAGTGCACTGACTGAGGGCAGACTAGAAATAAAAACCAATGTTAGTAAAATAATTAGAAATTATAAACATACTTGGTTAAAATGTTTCAAATGAAATTTAAATGATTTACTCACCTTGACGAGGAGCGCCTGAGCGCAGAGGACGAGGATAGCTTTCACAGACATGATGCTGCTGTTCTAGTGCTGACACGAGAATGATGTCCAGTGAAACTGTTCAAGTTTTTATACCTAACCTTTATCAATGTTCTACAACTATTTGTATGAAATGTTTACACGTAATTAATTAATTGATTGCTTGGGTAAGAATGATAAGCCTATATTGTGTTTACTTATAAAGAAATATTTAAATGATTTTATTGACACAATTCAGTCACGTGCCCAAAATTTTGAAATATTATTCCATATTATACGGGCAGGGTATAAAATGTATCCTAATGTCGCATTCATCATTCAGTCTTCAGCTCCTCGTTGAACAAACATGTCTACCTTCGCTTTTGTGTTCCTCTGCATCCAAGCTTGCTTGGTTCAGGTAAAAACATTGCTATTAACTTTTCTAATTTTACCATGTTAAATGGTAATGATCCACCACTTCATACTTTCGCCTTTATAATACTAACCATGATTTTATTATTCCAGCATGTGTTCGGTCAGTGCACCAGCCCAGCAGCTGTTGTAGACGTTCCCTTCGGCCTGGCCGCTCCTGGTTTAGCTGCTCGTGGTCTGACTGGTCCTCTTGGCTGGGCTGCTCCTGGCCTCGCTGCTAACGGCCTTATTGCTCCCGGACTTGCTGGTCGTGAGATTATTGCTCCTGGCATTGCTACTCCCTTTGGTCTGGCTTCACCTTTAGCTTATGATGGTCTGGCCTACCCTGGTGCTGCTCCTTACGGCGGTGCTGGTGAAGGCAACGTGGCGGTCGCTGGTGAGCTACCAGTCGCTGGTACTACCGCCGTCGCTGGTCAGGTCCCCATCATGGGCGCTGTGAGCTTCGGTGGACCTGTGGCTGCTGCTGGCTCCGTCTCCATCACTGGACAGTGCGCTTGCGGTTGTGGATCTCCCTACCTCATTTAAAGAAATAAGAATACATGATGGAAAATAAACTGAATTTGAAATGAAACTGTTACTGGTCTATTCTTCTTTTTCCTAAAAACATCCCATCAGGATTGCGTGATGGTAAGGCATTGACCTTACCCAGATAAGTAGATACCTTAACTTTTATTAGTGTGTAGATAAACAATCTGTCGTTATTCGTCAGGACATGAAATATAGAGGTATGAATGCTTTGTTCGTCATGGTAGTCCTTAACAGCATACCATAAGAATAAACGATCTCTGACCCGTCCTCCAAACGTGGAGATTGCGGTAAAACCATCATAATGTCATCTACATTACTATCTATAATGCTGGAGCATAAACTGTCTCGAGTGTTGAGAAGTTACACAATATTACGCTTTCTATGTCTCGACGTGGTAAACAGACGTGCTTTGTAATAATACTTAAGTCTGGGAGAGCCATGCTTCGGCACTGCTGGGCCGGCTCGACCGTAGTGATACCACGGCCGAGCAGAAAACCGACGTGAAGCATCGCTTGCGTTGTGTTTCGTCATGTCAGTGAGGTTACCTAGAGAAAATAAACATCTTATATACTATTATGTAAAGCGAAAGAGTTTGTTTGTTTGTTTGAACGCGGTAATCTCCGGGACTACAAGTCTGATTTGAATAATTCTTTTTGTGTTGGATAATGCATTTATCAAGGATGGCTATAAGCTAAAAAACATCACGATACGACCAATAGGAGCTGAGCAAAGCGTGTGTAACCGCGAGGAAGTAGCTAGTGGATAATATTATAACTAAAAATCGCGGGTTACTCACGTGAATATACTGAGAAAAGCTCTACTAGTTTCGAAAATCTCACTCAGGAAAATCCCCTGTCCCAGTGCTATAGTTACAGCTACGCCATTTTATCCTACCTAACCTAGGCAGAGGTATTTCTAGTAAGATATTAAATAAAAGTAGGTAGACAGCAAAATTGGAACATTTATTATAAATGTAGGTAACTAGATCGGTAGACGAAGGTCGGTAGAAAAATTTGGGTTAGAACCTATACAGCGATTAACTCCTCTCTGGTTTAGCACTCCACTGACGTCACTGGCCGCTGCAGGAGACGAGAGCCTGTACGTCGAACGGTCCAGGAAGCGTTCTGTCGCTGTCGACCTTGCTCTCGCGCTGGGAACAAAGGAGCCTCTTGGAGTGCCTAATTTGACGCTTGTTTAATACGTGCGCGGTGCTAAAACGTAGCTGGTCAGACATCCGATTTGATGCGTTCATTATAAGTATATTTTTTTACCTATATTGTAAATAGTTTTCTGACGCACGGTTTCACACGCTCTGCTCAGCTCCTATTGGTCGTAGCGTGATGTTTTATGTCCTATAGCTATCCTCGATAAATGCGCTATCCAACACAAAAAGAATTATTCAAATTAGACTTGTAGTTAGGGAGATTAGCGCGTTCAAATGAACAAACAAAAAACCAACTCTTCCGTTTTATACAGTGTGTTAGGTTAAACAAGGGACTTATTGAGGGAAGGTTATTCAGTATTCAATTCTCGTCCCGAATATGTAAAATACCTATAACCAAAATGTTTGAGGTAATGTTCCATCATCATGAACACTGAGCGCGCAACAAGTGGACGTGTAAACAGAAACAGTACTTACATAAAGTAAGTCAAGCAAACCACGCGCCGCTCTTGCCGAAAAGGAAAGAGCGCGCGTAAGCCCGCTAAGCCGTGCGCTGCCTCTTCGCAACCCAGCCATCGCGAAGGACACACCGGGCGTCAGGGATCGCGAGACGATCTCCGACCACCGTAAGCGCGGGCCTGCGGCGAGCATGGGTGGCTCCCCGTCCGACCAGAAACAGACCCGAGCGTACGGCGCGACGCGTTCCGCGCGCGCCTCAAAGAGCCATCAGACCACCACAGATGGGGCCCAATAGGGCTGTTGCCGATTCGGAGTCGCGGAGAACCTACCGGGTAACTGGGGCTCCGGCTCGACGGGCAGGAGAAGGAACGGGGTGGTTTTTAGTCAGTAAGAGTCTGACACTCCCTTCCGCCTCACCCAGGCGGGAGCAGTCATTCGATGATTTTCCCCCCTTAAAAAAAAAACCCTAACCGTAAGCGTTGTTATGGTTCTGTCTGATTTATTAGTGTTATTGTTTCGTTTATATGTTTGTTAGGTTCATATGAGCATACAGTATTGTGGGTTTGGATATGTCCCTCGTTTAACCTAACATACTGTATAATAGTATAAGAGTATAA